CGACAGGGAGGTCTTCAGGCTTAAAGCAGGTGCCCCGACGGGAGACAAGGGTGCTTCTATAACGCGACAAGTGGGGGCTGGTTCTCCTTTCTTCTATAACCTACTTAGAAAGCGGTTGTATACAACAGTGTGTCTGTAACAGAGCACTGGGCCCAGAGTGGACAGGAACGTGTCATACGTGTAACGTCTTTGCCAGTAATCACACTAGGCAGTGGTGCAGCAAGGCCGAGCCCCGCTAAGGAAATGCGTGCAGGTGGGGAAGCGACACAGCGTGCTGTCAGGTCCCTGCTGGTCCCCCTGGCGCTGCATGAACAATGGCGGCACAGGGGCACGGAACCCGGCCCAGGACTCAGGTCCGAGCCACCTCGGGGGCTGAGCCGCTGGAAGCATCAAGCTGATTGTGGTTAAAATGCTGGACCAGAAAAGAGTCACGGACTTTGTGGGGGATGGTGCAGTCACCTAAGCATCTGGGTCTGGATTTTGGCTCAGGTGGTGACCTCAGGGTCATGAGATCAAGCCCAAGTCGGGCTCTGTGCTCAGCGGGTGATCTGCTCGAGATTCTCTCTCAAATAATAAATGCATTACTTATTATTATTATTATTATTTAATAATAAATTATCTCTCTCTCCCTCAGCCCCTCCCCCCTCGCATGTGGGTGCTCTCTCAAATAATAAATAAATGAAACTTAAAAAAAAATAGTCACTTAGCGTTTAAAAAAAGCAATAAAGGGGGAACAAAGAACAAAAAAGGCGTAAGCTGAAACCAAACAGTAAGACTGCAGACGTAAATCCAACTCTAGCAATAAGGACATCGAGCGTAGATCGATCCCACGAGCCAGTCAAAAGGCAGAGGCCATCAAATGGACAAAAGCAAGCAAACAAGCCCTGGCAAGCCAGCCCTGAGCAGGAGACAGGAGGTGCATTTCGGGTTCAAAGGCAAAAGGGACCGGTAGGGAGGAGACAGTGCACCTGACGAAGTGGCCGGACGGGGCCCGCAGAGGCTCATACTGATGTCAGACAAAATAGATTTTAACACAAAGAGTGCATTCAAAGACGAAGGGGGACGTTCGATGATGATGAAAGGGCCAACCTGTCAGAGAGGGGCAGCAACAGAGCTCGGCTACGTGCAACAAAGCTGAGGGAAAGAAGGGAGGAGCAGAGCGGCCTGCACCAGGAGCCCGGGAGCCAAGAGCCCGGTTCGCACGCGGCTGTAGCCAACAGACCCAATGCAGCGAGGGGGCAGGAGACCCGACCCGCCGCACAGGCCAGCAAGCCCCGCAGACATGAGTGCGCGGCACCAAGATAGCAGGATGTGCGCGCTTTTCAAGGCCACAGAAGACACCTAAGGCCATCGCAGCCGGGGCCACGACTCATGATGGGGGGGGTGGACAGGGCAGACAGGGCAGGAGCGTTGCAGGAAGGTTCTGAATATTGGCTAAATACATGTGGAGAGAGAGGACTCCAGGTCCTTGGAGGTGGGCACCAGGAACAGAGACTGGTTTCTGTGAGGAGGTCCCTGCATGTCAGCTCCAGGTGTGGACGGAGGCGGTCATCAGGTGCCATGCTGGGCAGTTTGGCTTTGACCCTGGTGCCCTGGGCAAGTGTCCAGGGAAGGGAAGTGGACCGATTCATTGGTGATTGAGCTTTTAGATCTGATGGCGGTGCCCGGACTGGGTGGGCAGGCTGAGTTTGGGCGGGAGACCAACAAGAAAAGGCCTCTGTCATGTCCCAGGGAAAGGGGGGATTACAGAGCTGCTTTGCAAGTCACAGCTGGTGTAGACTCCCAGAACCCTGAGTTCCTGGGTCTCTAAGAACACCCTACACCTGGAAGTCTGAATGTGCTGGCACAGGTGTCTAATCAAAGGGAACCCCTTCTCTCTCAACCGCAGTGACCCCTGTGAGACTTAGCTGCATTGGCGTTTTTAAAAGTCTCAGTAGTGTACTTGAAAGTAAACAACCCTCCTTAGTTCTGATCTCTTAATAAGCCAATCTCCGCGCTGTCCATTCCCCATGCACACTTCCCGGCATCTCTGATCAGCCTGGGGTGTCCTTCTCGAAGGTTAGACGGTGCTGTGGAGAAGAACCCACACCTGCCCGAGGAGGGAGGCCGGAGGCTCCCTGGTCCTCGTCAGAGAACGTGCAGCCCCTGCTCCTTCCGAGGGTGCACAGGCAAGGACAGAGTCCTCACGCTTCACGGGGGATGTCGGAGGTGATATTCGGGGGCAAGAAGGCACCTGGTTGCCAGGTGCGCAACAGGAAGAGAGTGGGGGAGGGGATGCAGGCTAGAAGACTGGCCCAGGAGCCTCTCTGCCTGGGGCAGCCTGTGCCCAAGCTGCCCCAGATCCCAGAGGATGGATTCCCCTGGGGCCAGGTGGGCCCAGCGGCCCGCGGGTCTCCCAGGCTGGAGGCCGGCAGCTCCTGCAGGGCAGCTCCAGCAGGCCGGCTCTCAGGGGTCCTCCTGACCCCGCACCGGCCGCCGGTATCAGAGGCCCAGGTGTTTGAACACAGAACCCAAAGCACGGGGACCGCCCCGGGGCTCTAGAAAATACTGAGCAGGGTGCCCGACACTCCAGGGCCCTCCCGGAAAGGGGATTTGGCTTGCAAAGGGACTTCGAAAACGGTGAGCTTCTCTGGGTGTATTCGCCCCAATAATCCGCAGAAACAACAGTAACCTAAAAATAGTCTTGTTTTCTGTCCTAAGCTCCTTTTAACTTCGTTAGTCATCACCAACCCTTAAAATAAAACCCGTGTAACGTCTCTCCTGGTAGCGCCTGTAAACACACCCCGAGGGGAGGCCGACAACCGAGAGGGGCCGCAGGGGCGCGCAGGGGCCGCGGCCGAAGGACGGAGGCCGGGGGCCCCGCGGTGGCCGGAGGAGCCGCCCGAGGCGGACACGGGGGCGCGCTGGCCGCGGAGCCGCCGCTGCCTCCGGAACTCCCTGCGCCCTGGCGCGCCGCCACCGTGGTCCCGGCAACGGCATTAAACACAGGGAAACAGACGGGGATTCCGTCACCGGGCGGGGGAAGAAGGAGGGCATTGAGCGCGGACAGGAAAAGAGCTTTTCTGGACGGAGTGAAAATTATTTATTAAAGAGGAGGCGCGGGAGGAGGGGGAGGAGGGGAAGAGACGAGGAAATGGAGGAGGAGGGGGAGGAAGAGGAGGGGGGGGGAGGGGAGGCGCGGGAGGAGGGGGGAGGCGGAGGAAGGAGATGGGAGGAGGGGAGGAGCCGGCGGGCCAGGCGGGCTCCAGGTCCAAGCGGCGCGCGTGGCAGTGCGGGAGAGGCGCACGGGAGGGCACGGGGTCACTCGCCACCAAGGCCGCCCCGCCCGCAGGACGCGCGCCCCTCCCCCTCCCAGCCTCAGCGTCTTCGCGGGGGCCCCCCCAGCCTCGGGCGTCCCGAAGGGGTCCGTCTCCCTCCAGCATCCTCGTGGGGTCCCCTGGTCTCAGCGCCCTCGTGGGGTTCCCTCCTGGGGTCTTCCAGGGCCGGGGGCGCCGCGTGGGAGAGCTGCAGGTGGGGTCACCCAGACAGTGTCCTCACAGCCCCCCAGACGCGCGCGAGCGCACGGCCCGCCCCTCCACGCCGCCCGGCATCACACGCGGGCGGAACGCGGGATCTCGGCCCCGGGTAGCCCTACAGAGGGCGAGGGCACGCGGGCGCCGCTTCCGCCGGGCACCGTCCTCGTCCTGCTATTAACGTGGCACCGACGAGCCGGCGAGACCCCGAGGGTGGGTCAACGTCGCACGGCCCCCCCCCAGGTCCCCGGGGCGCGGAGGCATTTGGGGCACCCACTGGAGTCCCGCAGGCATCCCGGGTCCCCGCGGCAGACTCCGCTTCGCCTTTGGGGTTATTTGAAACTACGTGAGGGTGTCGCGCGGCACATGTGAGATTTCCCGGCGCCAGGCATCCCCACCGCCCTAACGCTCCAGCCCCTCGCGTCCAAGGCCAACGCGAAAATTTGGTCCGGGTTTGGCAGCCGAGCTGCGCCGTGGAGAGGCAGGAGGTTTTGAGAAGAAAGTGTAAAGTGAACCGGCGGCGCTGGGAGGCTTTCCCGAAACCAGCTCCCAGTCTCAGACCCCTCCCCCATGGGTTAGAAACCCCAAAGTCGCGCCTTAAAGTGCCCCTGACCCTCCCCGACAGCCGGGCCGGCCCTGGGAGGCGGGGGCGCTGCGCCCGTGGTTCTCCCCGACCTCCCCCCGCCAGCTCACGCAACAGGCAATCTGGGTCGCTCAGATATTTAGAGTAAAAAAATGACAATAACTCCACGTCCCGGGACTGCCATGCAATCTGTTAGTAATTTAGCGGGATGGGAATTTCCTTTCTCGGGCCTGCCAGTGGAAGCACTTTTCCAAATTTCCACAGCGGGGGAAGCCTGCGCTTTTACATAATGACTTCAGCATGCAGGGCTCTCTCGGCCACCCTCCTCTCCTGCTCCCTCCGCCCCCTCATTAAAGCAGAGTGGGACTCCCTGAGGACCCGAGCAGGACCCCGGCGTCAGGGACGGTTCCTTCTCCGGGTGCGCCCGGGTCGCACCCCGTGCGCCCCTGCCCTCCGCGTGCGCCCCCGCCGACCCCCGTGCGCCCCTGCCCTCCGCGTGCGCCCCCGGTACCCCCCCGTGCGCCCCCGCCGCCTCTGGTGCGCCCCCGCCGGCACCGTGCGCCCCTGCCCGCCCCCCGTGCGCCCCGCGGGCCGGGCGAACAGCGGCCCGGCGCGGGGAGGGCAGGCGCTGGGCGACTGGTCCTCGGGCCCTGCGCCGGCTCGGGCGGGGGCGTGATGTCACGGCAGGGAGGGGGCGCGGGAGCGGCCCGGCCGGCGGGGAGGCGGGGGAGGTGTTTTCCAGCTTTAAAAAGGCAGGAGGCAGAGCGCGGCCCTGCGTCAGAGCGAGACTTAGAGGACTCCGAACTCGCCGGCACACTCACCGCGCCGGATCCGGCGGCCGGGCGCGGGCACCCGGGCGCGGGAGCACACCTCCGAGCCCCCGCCACCCCGCCACCCCGCCACCCAGCCCGGGTTCCAGGGCCGCAGCCCGGCCCGCCACGCGCGCACACGCCCCTCAATGACATCTCTCCGGGGCGGGCGGCGCTGAGCCGGGCCGGCGAGCGTCCGCGGGGGAAGAGGTCTGCCTTCCCGGGAGACCCGGCCGGGGCGGCGGCGCCGAGCGCCCGCTCCTCCCGCTCCCCCTCTCGCCCTTCCTGCTCCTCCCGCTCCCCGCCGCCGCCGCCGCCGCGTGGATGCCAAGTACCAGTTTCCCAGCCCCTTCCAAGTTTCCACTCGGCCCTCCGGCTGCAGTCTGCGGGAGCGGAGAAACTTTGGGGCCCGCGCCGCCCTCCGGCGGCACCATGAAGTCGGCGGAGGAAGGTAAGCCGGCGCGGCCGCCCCCCGCCGCGGGCCCCCCCCGCGCCCCCAGCCCCGCGCCCGCCGCCCGCGCCCCGCGGGGTCCCGGCCCGGGCGGGGCGAGCAGGCGCGTCCGGGGTCCGCTGCCGGGAGGGGCGCGAGCGGCGGGCGCGCGGCGCAGACCGGGAAGCGGTCCCCCTGGTGTTTCCCCGGAGCAGCCCTGGCTTCGCGCGCGCCGTCTTGCCAATAGGTGTCTCCTCTCGCCCAGCGCTGAGCGCAGCCTCGCGGCGAGTCCGCGGCAGAAGCTCAGCCCCGGCGCGGGCGGGCCGGGCCGGGTTCGGGCCGCCACGACCACAAGAAGCGCGTTGCGTGAAGTGAGGTTTCCCTGGGAACGGAGCCCCGCCGGTTGCTTCCCTAGTGGGCCAAGGCCACCCTGCGGCTTCGGGGACCAGCCGCAGGACGTGAGGCGGGGGTCCGCGCCCCTTCGGAGCACCACTGGTGGCAGAGCCTCTCCCCTGCCCTGCGCTGCGCCCGCAGGACTAAAGGGCACCCGATGTGCGTCCGGACATCCGGACACAGCCCCTCATTCAAGCCATTGTGCAGCCCACCCACGGGAGTTCCAACCGTGGGAAGTGGTTCTGGACGGTGCGAAAAGGGACCTCCGGGTTTATAGTCACGGAGCTGCCTAAGCGCCCGTCCAGAAGCCACTGGGGAGAGGGAGTGGAGGGGGGGCTCACCCCGACGCCCCTGGCGCAGAATGGAGCTTCTCCCGGGTGATCTCCCGCAGGTGTCTGGAAAGGGCCTCCAGAAGGGCCCCCGGCATCCTGCTTAGGGATCAGGATAGCAAGGGCGTCCCGGAAACTGGGAGACACCTTTCCAAATGCCTCTTCAGTGCTGGAGCATTTCATGTAGACGATTTTCAGAAAGCGGCCGACTTGCCTCGGTGTAGCGAGGACTCAGTTCAGATGGCAGAAGTGCTTCTGAGAAGCAGCGCCTTCAGGCACCAGCCAGAGGCCCCGGCCTGGCCAGAAGCGCTTTCCTCCAGGAAGGTCCTGGTCTCCAACCGGGAGGCACCCTAGGCGGTACCCTCAGTAAAAGAGATCAGTTATTTTCTGTACCCGCGAAGGAAGAGGTGTGTTCCTCACCATTTCATCCCAGGTTAGGAAATATTTAAATGTAAGCATCAGGTAATATTTATGGGACAAGCTCTTGCTATTAGAACAATTTCTAACAAATGTGCTAAGGTTTTGGTCGTAACTTCTTGGACACCTTTCTCAAAGTCTGCCCACGTATGTTTTTTTTTTAAATGCAGGCCTTTCAGAGTTTCGTTTTCTTGACCTGAGCCGTCGGTGGTCCATCCCGCAGCCCTCTCTTTTTTTTTTTTTTTTTTCAACAAGAAACCCCGTCTGTGGGGTGCTGGTGATTCTTCCTGTTTCCTGCTTCAGAAAGTGCATTTGAAAGGGGCCTTTGGGCAGGTAGCACCCCAGGGTGGTGGTGCCTCTAAACTCGGCGATCCAGGGGGTTTTCTAGAAGATATAGCGTTAGGCAACCAGAAAGTGCAATGGAGTCCTTCCCGGACCCAGGCCGGGGGAATGAGAGGTGCGGGGCTCCGGCGGGTGCCTGAGGACATGAGGGTCCTCGCCCCGCGGCCGGAGGGAGGCACAGGCGGCCCCTGTGAGGAGCAGCTCGATGCCCCAGCACTTCCCTCTGGTCTAATGAGCCTCTGGGCTGAACCTCGTTAAGCCCTGTTGTTTCTGAAGGCCGCGCGCCTGTTTTTCCGCGTGGAGAATGCAGGGAAACGCTCGGTAGCCGCCTACCCGCCCACCCCGAGGTTGCTCCACACAGAACGCCCCCGGGCTCTCTGGGAGAACAAAGCAGCTCTGTTCTCCCCACACTTCACTTCGCCGTCTTGTTTCCTAATCCAGATTAGGAGAGGCCCTGGCCGGGCGCTCGGCTCCATCACACCCAGGGCTGGAGCTCGGTGCGCCGCGAGCACGCGCAGCTGGAGAGGAAGCGCCAAGCTGAACATTTCCATCGGGACAGGAGTGTCTGCTGAATTGGCAAATAGCTCCAAACCGCGTACCAGTTGAAAGGCACGGCGCGGCGGGTGGAAGGGGGGGTGTTGCTGGTAAGAGGAGCGTTTAGAAAACCGGCCTGCGCATCTGGCTACTTTGGTTGGGGATCCGAAACTAGGTGGGGGGGGGCCGCTCAGCTTTGGGCAGAGTGGGGCTGAGTCCCCGTCCCCGTGGCCAGGTGGGAACTGGGTGGACACCTGTGCGTGCGGAAGCGTGAACCCCCTTTCTCTCGAACCTGGAACGAAAAGCTGTCGTCCACGCCGACCGTAAGGGTGGTTGCTTCCATGGACGTTCTCGGTGGGTGTTAGAAGGCGGCTTTGGGGAAAACAACTGGAAAGGGAAAATGAAGTGTTGCTTCTCAACAGAAACAGACTCATTTGCCCGAAGGTCAGCAGAAAAAGTGAACGAAAACACAACAACCCTCCAACATACGTCTCAAAGTGAGGACTATTATTAGAAGCAAAATCAGGCCAAAGTGAGCCATAGTTTATCACTGGAGAAAAGCAGCCATTGCAAAGGGTCACGGGAGAGAAACATGAGGGGGGCACGTGATTTGCAGGTTATTTGCTTCTGGAAAAAGCCCCCCAGAGGGCCTGCAGGGCAGAAAGGAGGGTGCGTTGGTTAGCAGCGGGGCTGCAGGGACGGACACCCGTGCCACCCAGCCTTTCCCCGACTTGACGTCCCCTCCACAGGTGATTCTCAGTCTCCTATGAAGTTCCCCTGCTGTACCAGATGCTGGTTGCCCATGGCACCAAGACACTGGGGACGGTCAGCGCACGCGGCTGGGAGAAGGCACATCAGGCAGGGGCGGTGCCCACACGGGCCTTTAGCTTGTGCCTGCCGTGGCTGGGCTGCTGGGACTGAGCCTTGGGTCTGGATCCCCGTGTACTCAGCCTTGGAGAGCTCTGCAGTGGCTGGCAGACGGTAGTTTAAGGAGTCAGGGGACTTCAGCCACTGGTGTTCCAAGGAGGCCTCGGGGCAGCTGGGCGTCTGCGTTGCGGGAAGGCAGCAGAGCTCAAAGGGCTGCTGTGGGGCACCGTTCAGGGACCGTGGGCAGCCTGTGAGGGCATCAGCAGAGCTCCCCCACGCCAAGGGGAGCATCTCCAGCCCCGAGAGGGAAACCCCCACCTCCTTGGCACTTTCAGGGCATAGGGTTAGCTGTGGGGCTGGGAAGTGGCACTGGGGGAGGGGCTGCTTGTTCCAAGTAGCAGAGCAGCTTAGAAAGCAAGTGCGGCTGTCCAGGGGATGGCGCACTGGCCCCTGGCGGGAGGTGCATGTTGTAGACTCCGGCAGCAACCGAGACGCCCTAACCCCTCACTCCACGAGAGGCCTGGCCGTTGGAGAGTTTGCTTTCTCCTTCGTCGTCGTCCTCTTTGCACAAATTCGGTGGCTCGGGGGCGGCCCGCCCTTTCTTTGGGACTCGGTCTTGATCTTTGCGCCACCTGGGGCCCGCGGGGTGTGCGGGGCGCGGACCCGGGTCCCACCCGCGGGCTCTCGCCCCGCTCCTCCCGAGCCGGGCGCGGGCCGCGGCGCACGTGGACCCCCGGGCGCGGGCGGGGGGCGGGGGACACGAGCGAGCCGCGTGCGCCCGGACTGCCTCGAGAGTTTATTTAAAACTCGGAAGCCGGCGGCCGGCAAGCGGCTTGTTTATGTCAACCCGGAAACAGCGGGGGGGCGGGGGAGGGGCGCGGGGGCGGGGGAGGGGCGCGGGCCGGAGTCACGTTACCCGGGGACGCGGGGCCGGCGCCCGGCGCAGCCGAGCCCGGAGCGGCGCGACCACAGGTGCCCGAGGCCAGGGCCGCGACCAGGCGCCGACCCGGACTCCGACCCGGGTCCACGCAGACCCGGGGCTGGTCCCTGACTAGGCCAGGACTCCAGCCCCGAACCCCAGACCCCGACCTGACCGGGCGAGATCTTGACCCCAGACCCTGGACCCCAAGCCCCTGTGCGGACCTCAGCCCCGACCTGGCCCGTCCCAACATGACGGGGCTGGAGGAGGACCAGGAGTTCGACTTCGATTTCCTTTTCGAGTTTAACCAGAGCGACGAAGGTACCGCCGCCGCCCCAGGTGGGTCCTCGTGGGCCGGGAAGGGCATGGGACGCGGACAAGGGGCGAGGGGCCCTCCCGGTGCTGTGTTTGAGGTCGCAGGGCCGGAGGTGCATGCCCCAAGGGTGCAGGCCCCGGGGGGTGCAGGGTCCCCCCGGGGTGGAGTATGGAGGTGCAGGGGTGGGGTGGGCAAGACCCTGGGGGTGCAGGACCCCAGGGTGGAGAATGGAGGGGGTGGGTGGCGCCAGGTGTGGAGGTGCAGGCTCTGACCTGGGATGCAGCAGTGGGGGTGAGGTTCCACAGTGCAGGATCTGGGGGTGCAGGGGCATGGGGGGGTCTGGGGTTGGCATGCAGGGGCCTGAGGTACAGGGGTGCAGAGTTCAGAGACCCCCGGGGGCATGCAGGGGTCTGGGCCTGGGGGTACAGGAAAGAGACTGAAGTCAGGAGTGGCTGGCTTGGGGGGTGCCCTGCCCCCAGGGCACTGGGGAACTAAATGGGGTGGGGAATAGAGGGGAGTTGTGGGTGGTGGGAAAGGCCAGCACTCAGGTGTGTTGCTCAGCAGCCCATAGTGCGGACTCCGGGCACCAGAGAGGCCAGGCCCCCCGCCTGTGGGTCACGAGTGTGTGGGGTCTGTCCAGTGGTCCTGCTGGAGGGGTGTCTCCCCCAGGGTGCTGGTGTGCTGCTGACGCCACAGGACACAAATGTCCAAGGCCCTGGACTTGGACGCTGTCGAGGGACAGGTGGTGAGCAGCCATTGCCAGAGGGCAGGGGGCCATGGAGCCCCTCCAGACCTGTCCCTGAGCACCCTCCCGCCCCGGCCCCTCCCAGAAGCCGCAAGTAGAACCAGCCTTCAGGGGCTCAGAGCCTTTGTCTCTTTCATTTTCTTTTCTCTGCAGAAATAA